GTAAAACTAGTAGTCCTTAAAATTGTGCCAAATTTGCAAAATAATGAGAGAAATTTGAATTAAGCGTAAAATTAATTCTTCTGTTTTAACACTTTAAAAACACTTCTCATTATTTAACCAAATTACTGTAATAGTTCATTGTAGTTATCTTGGTCAATATAATTCTAATGTATTATGCATTATGTTAATACATAAACATATCATTGTGCATCTTAAACACCATAACGTTTAGCTTCACTTTGTTTTTAATATTAAGTACAAATACAGTATACAGTACACAGAATATGCTCATCATATCTGTGTACAGAATTTAAAGTAAGTTATATTTATAGTATATTTTAATTACATTTGCTTCCTTTCTATGAATGCCTTTCACTAAACGTCAGCTAACTTTTGATTATAAACTCAAAACTAAGACATTCATAACTTTCAGACAAATGATTAAATTAATTATAATATTTACAAATCTAGTGCAGCTGTTAAGGTTTGCCTCCAATCGTGTTCTATAGTTAGTACTGTATTTTAATTCTTGAATTCAGTAATATTAATATTTATTTTAAATAATTATACAGAAATAGAAAAATATTTATAATATCGATTTCTTCTAATATAATTAAAAATACTGATAAATTTGATTGATTTAAAAATAATTATCAAAACCTATAATATTTAACTAATCAACTAAAATAATAAAAATTAAAATGAATGAATTTTAGGATAAATCGCTTTTTATTCAGAAATGATTGTGAATTGAATGAACATTTGATTTGAAAATAAACTCTAATATGACATAAAAACTAAGAGTAATTAAATAAAAAGAAATAACAATTTTTACTACAAATCTAATTGAGACTACATTCGGATGAATGAAATGCTTGTCGACTTGTCTTCACACAAAACTATGACTACATCTGAAAAGTAATTTTAAAAATTGTTTTAATATTTTTTATTTCAAAAGCAATCAATTATTCTGTAAAACAAGTAACGTTATAAGTTAACAAATAAATTATTGTATTAATGAGTTAAATATGACATATAGACATACCAAAGACCAAAGTAAACAACCCATAGGATAAGTAGCAAAAGTATTAGGATTAGATAATTAACAAATAAACTTTGCGCCTCTTTTTCCGGCATTGGAGTCAAATGTTGTAATTAAAACTGAACACAAGGAGTTAATACAAAATTAATAATCAATTTTCATATTAGATAGTCATTACGTTTGAAATATATTCTTAGGTTTTAGTAAATCCTGAATTCACTCTCGTATTTGACATAAAGTTTTGAAATAATGTTCGCAAATTCGCTCTCAATTTTTGAAAGACGTCTTTCAAACTTCTAATATTAGTGTAAAATATTATGAAATTATGAAAATATATATTTTTAAAACATTGCATTAATATTACTCTTTCGAAAGGAATGAGTGAAGGAATTGAATGTTAACTGTATTTCCACTCATTTCTGGATCTCAAAGGAGAGCGCATATGACTCCAGAATTAGTGCATTCTTTCAATCAATTCGTGATTTTTAAAGTCTTGTAAATCCTATGCACTCATAGATTAGTAAAATATATTTATAGATTTTAAATCCTAAAGAAAAATATTAAAGTATTAATTATAGTTTTTATGTGCAATTAGTTTCTCAAATATTGATCTACAATCATGTAAATTGGTACTATTTTTGCACGCAAATATTATACAGTAGTATTATATATGTATTTTGATTAATAATTACAAAGATGTCATTGAATTAAAATAGGAAACTAGAAAATGAGACGAGTTTTGAATTTAGCAAAAGTTAGAATAACTTTTTTGAATATTTATATATTTTTTGGCAAATAGTAAAGGCATTGATTTGATGCTTTACTGCTCTCAGAATTTAATCTGTATATCGGATATATGACAAAAATATGTAAACAATTTTATTTAACTCCAAATTGGCTTTAAATTAAGTCTAGTAACTATAATATTCGGGATTCAGAATCATGTTTTTAAAAGAGATTAGTTTTAAATAACAGAAAAAACATTTCACTCACTCCTGTGTAAAGAACCCAAAGAATTAGAAGCAATAGAATAATGACCACATAATTCATGATAAGACTCTTTGCTTGTTCATCTCCTCCCATAGCTTCCGGTGCACTCAAAGTATGCTTAAAAGTATCAAAATATTAACCGATCTCTCGATATAATCAAATGGTAAGAATGGGTGAATAGATTTGAAAGTTTTGTTTGTAATGAGAGTTGTTTTTATGATATGAGAACAAAACCTCAGCTAAGCTTTGTAACCATTGGGTCCCTCTATAATAGTTTTGATGATTGCGAATGTCTTAATGCGATACATAATGTGCGCAAATGTTTCTTTGTGTCACTTTAGGTATCTTTAAATGTGTTGTATGTCTTGAGCCAAGTATAGACTCAATCGCATAGCAAACTGTGGAAACGTGCAAAAACGCCATTCCTTTGTAACTTCTGAATGTGTCCTCAAAAATACATTTCACTCGAAACTCTATCACATCTCTCTCTCTCTCTCTCTCTCTCACTCACTCACTCTCTCTCCTCTTAGAAATCAGAATCAATTCTATAAATACTTCAAAAGTAATCCAAAATAATCCGGTTATATATTTAATAAATATTTTATTTTATTTTTTAAGAAATTCGTTTTAATTACAAATAAGATAATAAAATGAAAGTCATATTTAATCGAAATAATGATAAAATATCTCAATAGTCATAAAATAGTTTATGATTATATGGCACTCATTCAGAGAAAACTGTTATACTTGTGTTCGTTGCAGAGTCTGACAAATAAATAAATTAAATAATTATTTTTAAATCTCTTTTTATAAATACTGAACTAAAAAACAAAACGCTTTATATTATAGTTAATAATAAATGAAATTTTGAATCAAAATCATGCCATTAATCGAAAGTGGTGTTAACTTTAAAACCAAAAAACTAATCGAAGAATTCGCTATAAATAAAAACAAATAAAAATATAATCGACTAAAAATGGTTATATTAAACTTTAAAATTAAGGTAAATTATTATTTAAAAATATTATATACGGTAATATGAATGCATAACATACTAATGCATAACATACTAATGCAAAACAATATCAAAATTGGATTAAATGGCAATTGAGTGAACACTACCTCTGCGAGACTGTCGGCATATTATACTTCCGAGTCGTCGCTTGTCTTTGGCGCGCAAGAAATGAAACGGAATTTTGACCCGAATTTAAGGAACCGTTTCTTATTCTGTCTTCGGCTGACTTTCTCTGCAAATGAGAGCTCTGAAAGAGTTTTGAAAATTAGTTACAAACCAATGGATAATCATTTGAGACTAAAAGACAGACCAAATTGTGAAAAGAAATGGTAAGGAGTTTGGCCTCCATTTCCCGCAAACTATTGGTTTCATCGAAATCTTGTTTAAACTTCAAAAGCTCTAAATCTTTTTGTTGCACTAATTGTTTCCAATAATTAATATCATTGTTGGCGTCGGAAGACGTGCTGCTAATACTGCTAATACTCTGTTGCGACAACTGATCCAAAGCAGTGCTCACGGCCTTTGCTTTGTTGACATACTTCTTGTACTGATCTTCCCTATCATTAAGATCTTCATCCTTCTTAATGACCACTGCTTTTAGGGAATCAATCTCTTGCTGTGCGTTCAATAACTCGTGTTTTGTGGCCTCGAGTGACAGCTCTTTCTGTTTGATTATATCCTGAAACGTCTGCATCTGCTCGTCATCCGACGTCAGGCGAACCGAATCTCTTAACTCAGCCTCCAATTTGATGACCTTCTGATTGGTCAGCCGCTGGTCTTTCTCTAAGGCCATCACTCGCTTCCTCTCCTCTTCCAGTTGTGACTCCAGAAGTCTGACGCGTTCATCATCTGACTTCTGACGGGTTTCCTTTAGTTTCTTGTTTTCAAACTCAAGTCGAGTTAATTTCTCTCGAATTTCGGTCGAATTGCAATCACTTTTTTGCATCAATTCCACCGAATGTTGGGTTGAATGCATGACCGGCGCGTACTCCGCCTCCAGACTCATAGCGTTTTTTTGCTGACTTAACATTGCCTTCAAATCATTCAATTCATTAATATGTTTATCCTTTTCGTGTTGCAGTTCTTCATATTTCTTGGTCATCCGTTTGGTCTCCTCCTCAGCCCTGTCCGCCCGGAACCCTTCCTCTCCCACTTTGAGTCTGAGGTCTTCTTTCTGTCTTTTGAAGACATCGATCTGACCCTTAAATAGTAACAAACCCTTCACCTCATCCTCTAATTCGCAAATCTTTTTGGTCAGCGAGACGTTGCGGTCATCGAGGGTTTGGAGTTGTCTTTTGGCTTCTTTCAACTCATCGTTCCTCCTCTGGAAGACAACCTCTTTATTCTTATACCTCTCGAGCTCTTCGTTGAGGTACTGAAGTCTATCCAATTCGTCCCTATCCTGCTTCAAGTCATTCAACTTAGACATCGTTTGATCCAATTGTTGCCTCAGTTTATTCGCCTCTTTTTCGTTGAGTTCGGAATTCAATCGGAAATCCTCTTTGATTTCTTCGGTTCTCAACAAATCGTTTTGTAAACCGATTATCTGATTGTTGAGGCGCTGGAACACCGCCTCGTTATCAATGGAGTCCTTCTGATTGCTGTTTGACTCATAGTTTCGCAATATTTTCATCTTCTCCGCCAATCTCTCGTTTTCCAACTGAAGCATCAGTTTCTCGTCATTCAGTTTAGTGACAATCGCTTCCAGTTCTGCACATCTTTGCACCGAAGACTCATTCGTCTCAATAACCACTTGATTGGTGGCTAATGTGGGCTCAACGCCCCCTAAACTGTTAATATCGTCGAAAGTCTCCATTTGTTGGATCGCTGTCTTGATTCCGTGCTGAACCTCGAGGTCTAAGTTCGTCATAATAGCTATGAAGTCCTCCTTTCGGTGACAATTGATGGCACAGCCGAGGATGAGCTGCAAGAGAAGGGCTAACTGTTTGGTGTTGCGGTCGCGACCGATGAGTGTGACGTCTGGCAACAACTTATCGTCTATTTGTTTGTCCAACTCTTCGGTATAGTAGTCGACGACCGCTTCGTACACTTTCCTCAGGTTTGACACCCGAAGCCTCCAATTGGTGCCGCAGTCCGTCTCAATCTTCTTGAGCCAATCACTCTTGAAATACTCCGGACATCTGTTTATGAAGACAATCGGTCAGTGGTTTGTGAGATCATGACAGAGACTATGGTTGGCATACATTTGGTTGAGGACATGGCTGATGGCCACACCATCGCACAGGTCTTCAACTGATCCGCAATTGCTCGACAAGTCAAACGTCTTCAGCTGTAAATCAAAGCGATTTAATGGCTAATGAATGGTACGAATGATTGATCCGAAGACAAACCCATTGAAAGAGGCTTTGCGTCAAATCCATGACTCATTAAAACAATGAAATACTAATAAAATTGAATTAAAATGCAATCAAAATAACAATTAGTGTCTGTTTTGTCAACATTTCAATAGTGAGTCAATATTGCACTCAATATTGCATTCATTTACACAATAATTACGTAAACATTAGATAAATAGTGGTGAACTTCACTGCAATACTCAAATACAGAATAAATGTATTTACTGTACACAGCAATGGCATTTCATTATACGAACACTTCCCTGCATAACATTACTGTACTGTAATAATGTAACAGTAAACTTTAATAGTCTAACTTTTTGTATTATACGTAAAATAATCCGGTACTGTATTTAGATAATTATAGAAACTTATGTATTCAACTGTTAGATAATATTATAGATACAACCTTTTATTCACTTATATACAGTTTGACATTGATTTGCAATGAAAATATCTTTTCAATAATATGTTATCATGGAAATAATCTCACTAAAGTTCTTAAGTCTAATATGCATGAGCCAGACAGAGTGTTCATGTATATGAATCTTGGACATTTATAGTAGCCTTTTCCTTCATTGACTTGAATATAATAATTAATCGTTTCTATACAATTAATGTGTGAATCATTGCATTTAGAATCTAAATTTAGATATTGATATAACTTTTGAAAAAGTGGTCTTAAAAGTGCATTTCTCATAAAGACTGTGTTGTCCATTGTATTCCTATACTGTATTAGTCTAACAACTTCTGTAATCAATGTATAATATAGCCGTAAACCTCTTCATAAAACTTTAACCATGGATTACCGGTAATAAGACTAAAACTCAAGGCTTATAAATTATAAGTTATAATAAACGACAACTTTTGTTAACAATTTTATTCATCAGTTTCCTTGAAATGGTTTTTGTATTGTTATTAATAACTTATTATATCCTTTAAATAAAATATAAAAAATTATTTTTCCATCAAAATATTTATTGAATTCAACAAAATAGTAAAACTATAATCAAAATTAGAACTTTCTATTAAAAACATTTTTATATTTAAATAGTTATCTAACTCTATTGCATATAACACTCAATACACAGAGAGCACCGCAATTACAACACATAATTAAGTATTAAAACGAGATTTAATAGAAATAACCCAATATGTCAAATCTAAACATCAAACTAAAAGTACCGGTACTTTGTAAATGCAATATTACTGGAGTTTACGGTATATTGAATGCACTTATTTGGGATAAGTCTTAATAAAGTTAATCAACCCATTGGTGGAACTGTCGTGACTGGTAATCAGATCCGGAGTTCTAAGTTCTGGTTCTATAGCTTTGGCCAACTCTTTGCCCAACTCGACGCCCCACTGATCGTAGGAATTGATGTCCCAAATGACTCCCTGAGTGAAGATCTTGTGCTCATAGGCAGCGATAAGCGCTCCTAAATTGAAAGGAGTGATTGTGTCCAATACGATGGAATTGGTCGGTCTGTTCCCTTCAAACACCTTATGATTGATAATCCGTTGTATCTCTTCGTCGCTCTTCGACTGCTTCTTCAACTCATTCTCTGCCTGTTGTCTACTCTTGCCTTTCATAAGAGCCTCGGTTTGTGCCAAGAAGTTGGCCAAAAGGATCTGATGATGCAATCCATTGCGCAATGGGTTCAGCGTTTTGACGGGTGCTATAAAATCGCAGGGAATAAGTCTCGTTCCCTGATGTATGAGTTGATAGAAGGCGTGCTGTCCGTTAGTTCCCGGTTCGCCCCACACAATAGGACCCGTAGAGTAGTTCACCGTTTGACCGGAACGGGTCACGTACTTGCCATTGGACTCCATGTCCCCCTGTTGGAAGTATGCGGCGAACCGATGCATGTATTGGTCGTACGGTAGGATCGCCTGAGTCTCGGCCCCATAAAAGTTTATATACCAAACACCCAACAGTGCCATTAGAACCGGTATATTCTGATTAAGGGGTGTCTCCTGGAAGTGCTTATCCATCCAATGGCCGCCTTCTAACAGCTCTCGAAAGTTATCAAATCCAATGAAGACAGCAATGGAGAGACCGATTGCGGACCAAAGGGAATACCGACCGCCGACCCAATCCCAGAACCCAAACATCGAGTTCTCGTCGATTCCAAAAGCCGTCACTTTGTCTCTGTTTGTCGAAAGGGCCACAAAATGTTTGGCCACAGCTTTGATGTCTTTGGCGGACGCAAGAAACCACTCTTTGGCCGACTCGGCGTTAGTGATGGTCTCCTGTGTTGTGAATGTCTTCGACGCGATTATAAAAAGAGTTGTTTCGGGATTCAATTCCTTGAGAATGACCGCCAGATGTGTTCCGTCGATATTCGAGCAGAAATGCACTTTAGGGCCAACTCTGTAGTGCTTAAGAGCTTCTGTCACCATAACTGGTCCTAAGTCTGAGCCACCGATGCCTATATTGACCACATCTGTGATCTTCTTACCGGTATAGCCCAACCATTTGCCAGAAATGAGATTATCAGAGAATGTCTTCATTTTGTCCAAAACTCGGTTCACTTCAGGCATCACATCATTTCCATCCAAAACGATGGGAGTATTGGATCTGTTCCTCAAAGCCATGTGAAGAACGGCCCGATTTTCGGTGAAATTAATTTTCTCCCCGGAGAACAACTTTGAACGCATTGTCTCCACATTACGACTGGCGGCCAAAGACAGCAACAGATCCAACACTTCTTTGTTAATCAAGTTCTTCGAGTAATCAAACAAAATGTGTCCGCCTTTTGGTGTTTGGAGTTTAACGCTAAAGATATGACAATTGCATCAATTGATGGCATCATGTGGTCACCATTTATGTCAATACAGACCTGTATTTATCAAATCGTTGCTTGTCTTCAGCAAACAGATCCACTAAATTGAGTTTCAATGCATTGTTGGTGTGATAGGCCCTCAACTTCTTGTAGTTATCATCACCGGTGAGGCCAGTGTTGGTCTGTTTGTCTGCCTCGACGGCAAACGCATGACCGGCGCGTAACAGATCTGAAGAGCTTTTTGCAGACATTGATGGCGACAAGTATTGACTGATTTGTTCACTAAAATAGTGGCAAATAATCGACTGATTGGTTAATCGCAGCAATGGATCACTGATTCAATGAATGGATATATGAATGCAAATGCACTCAAAGTCTACTCAAAGTCTACTTAATGTCAAAACTTATGATTCAATTCTCACAGCAATTACATCGAGTCTCACAGTCAGACACCAATCGATGCACACAATTGGCGTACGTTTGGCGCCGCCTTTTCTTCACTTCACTCACACCGTGAATGCCATTCACTCCGCCCTCCACTCAACACATGTCACACTCACTGTGTGTTGGCTTTGCATTGACAGTGAATTTGCTCGTCAATAGACATCACATGATATTATAACTGATAATAATGATTACATTTGATGTCATTTTTGCAAACTCTTCCTCCAAATGGTTACAAACTAATGATAGGTTGCCATCCGATGAATGTTTTTCAACAAATTGTATTTTATTTTTCCAATAAATCCTTTATTACGTGAGTTAGCATTGACTTCAATGCAAGTTTAAAACTTTGTGAGTTTTCAAATAAAATCAATCCAACAAATATTGAACTTTTTTAAACTTATTTAAACTTATTTATTTAGCACTATGATACAAATTCTCAGTTATCAGTGAATTTGTATTTATTTTACTAACAATTTTTCATATATTAAGTTGATACTGTATTTAGATGTGATAACGATACTTTATCATGTACAATTATGTCATTCAACTGATATTCTCACACGTGCAAATTTACTTATTTACTTAATACATTATTCAGTATAAATTATATTTACTAGATGAAAGTTTATCTTATGAACGATTTTATACTTTGTTAAAATATTTATAAAAATATTAAGTATACTTTACATAGAGTTATAAAGTTAATGAACAATTATCAAATGACACATTTTGATAAATAACTTTTTATCGATGGCAATTTGAACATTTAATAAGCATCCGAATATGTTTATGAAATATTTTCAAACCATATCATTGAGTCAATTAATAATTAATAATTAATAATTAATTAATAATTAATAATTAATTTGAAGCAAACTTTAAAAAAATAATTAATTTTTATAAAACAGAGAACATCTATAGAGGGGGCAGTCATACAATAGAGGGGGCAGTGAATGGAGTGTAACGTAGTGTATGAGCGGGTGTTTGATGGCAAACAGACAATGAAGTGATTCAACGATAACTGAATAAATACAATACAAATGATTTGAATTGAGATTCAATTGGTTTGAATAGCAGTGAAGTGACGGATGGCGTGAATGTCTTCATATAAATAATACTTATTTCATATAATACTTAAAATGATGGTAAGTATGAAGTGTTGACTCATGAGTGTTGACCGAAAATGAAGGGCCGACTCGTTGTGAACGGCAAGAGTGGCTCCAATGGGTTGACCGCCGATGACGTGCTGCGAGTGAGGGCAGACCACTCTTCGGCCACTGAGACCACCCGTCCCTCCTATTTGACGTACTGCTCCTCATCAGCACTGGTCGACAACCATTCAAACCAATTGATTAGTCAACAAACCAGTCATTCCAGTCATCAACACCTCCAGACCACACATCCGTCAAGCAATCACTCCTTACCTCCGATGAGCTCTTTCGTGGCCACCAATTCTGGCCCATCAGTGAACAGTAGTGTGAGCTCCGGGAGGACAGCGACGCACCACCCGATGCTCAGCCAAGACCTGAGCATTGAGTTAATGACGGCTCCGACCACTTCCGAGTTGGAGGCCTATAGTGGCGACCCATTGGACCAGACGTTTGTGGACGTCTTGAATATGTCTCAGTTTGTGTTCGACCCCTTCCTCTCTGACGGCCACTCAATGGCAGCTCAAGTGAACAGTCAGAGCGATGAGACGGTGTACTACTCGTCAGATATGTCTGATTTGGGTCCACAGGTGTCCTCCACTCAGACCACATCCCACTCGCAGACACCCAACGCCCAG